ACTTTCCTCAACACTGTGACTTACCTAGTCTAATAACCTGGATTCTGGATTTCTTAAGCATGTTTTACTGCTCTGCGTATTTGTTGTTACTTATGTCTACTATCTACTGTGATCCTATCTCCCACTCCAGACCCTTGCGAGGAACTAATTCATTGCCCTGAATGTGTTCATATGCACTATCTCCCTTAGGTCATTCATGTGTAGCTTGTTATAATCATGTAATTTTTGAATGTCATCACTGCTTGAATCCCTAAAACAGTATGCCATATTTTTCTGTAATTCCATTGTGTGATCTACTCGACTCTATGTTTCTAAGTGTTGCCCAGGTCTTTTCTAGTATAAACTTCAAGGTTCAGCCTTTCCTGTATATGATTAATTAACACTAGGATTGATAATTACATATCCTGTTGACCTAGGGTTGATACTTTCGTCTACCATGAATCTTAATATCTGCTTGTCTTGTTAGCCTAAGGTTGACATATTCTTTGCCTACTATGAGCTCTTAGAATCCTTGTGATGCAGTTAGTGTCCATCTTGTTAAGTCTCATGATCAACTATGTATGTTTGCCCAAATTATGTTACCAGTATGATTGTTAGGCAAGGCTTTCCTATTAAAATCTTCATAGGAATATTTTACTCCACCCCCTTTTTGTGCATGATTTTGCTTGGCTGTCATATGCAGTTCTTTGAGTTGGTCCTATTTGGAAACAATATTTGCAGTGGTTTGGTGGTTTATGATACCTTATCTTGTCCCTGTTAATCTTGTTGCTTGCCCATATGTGTCTTTGATGCCTGTCAACTTCGCATGACCCTATCTATTGGTTGAAACTGTAGTTCTTTCAGTTGTGAAAACTAAGTGTTTAAATTACTCCATGCATAGTTCTATTACCTGTATGGCTAATCTAAATATCCATTAGCTTAATTACTGGAATTGTTTGGGCCTAGTATGTTGGGCCTGCCTTTGGTATTTGGGGTCTGAAGCACACTGACTACACCTGGAGTTTGGGCATGCAGTCCACATGAAGTTCTAAGTCTATTTAAAGGCCTAGATGTGTTACTAGGTTATTCTATATTTGTATTTGGGCATGTAATCATTCAATATGATCTGTAATAACTTGTAAAACTAAATGATGGGGAAATTAATGAAAAAGGGGGCTGGGGTATTCTAATGCTCACATGAACGGGTAGAAAATATACCTATAGGGTTTAATTGCCTTGTTTGATATTTGTTTTGACGTGCTTTGATTCTACACACTAATAGAAATCATGTCTATAGGAATCGCACGCACTTCACTTAGCTTGTCTAATACTGGTACATTATTTAAAGTATGTTAGCTCAAGTAATTACTACACTTGTTTCCATGTCTACTACTGAAGTAATTACTACACTTGTTTATAGGGATCAAACACCTTGTTTAACTATTAGGCAGCATGCCTATAAGATGCAATAATACACGCTTTTGATAATACTCATCTAGATACCATGACTATAAGGTTAATTAATTAATCAGCTGCTTCTGTTATTTTCATTATACTGCCCCGCTTAGATGACATGCCTATAGGGATAAAGTGTTATAAAATCAAGTCCAATTGTCAACTACTAGAAATAATGCCTATAGGATATTGTCACTCGCATAAGAAATAGTTTATGAAATCATGCCTATGGGATACTCTTAGCACGGAGTCCGATCACGACCCGATCGGCTAGGCCATCTCATTAGAGACATCAACCACAATTTCACTCAATATCAATACCATCGTCTTTAACACGGAGTCCGATCACGACCCGATCGGCTAGGCTATCCATTAGGGACATCAACCACAATTACCATTTCAATTAGAATTTCCAGCGCAATCACCACCATGTGTGCGGCATGGTGTCCGATCACGACCCGACCAGCTAGGCTGTCTTATTTGAGACATTAGCCTTTTTATATCAATTATCGTATTTCGTATTACTTTCACATCTTTTCATTTCATTGGCACTAATGGCCATAATTATAAGATCACTCTTGGCACGTTAGCCATATTCAGTATTTCATGCTCACCTTATCAATTTCAAATATCATTATCATCATCAACAACAAATACAATTCAATCAAGGTGTGTAATACACATGTGAGCAATTTAGTTGACCTACAGGTCCGCTTATTTGACTTTACTATTTTATTTTTATTCATGTTTCTGTTATTATTGTTTCATACATGTTTATTGTGAGTGTCTTGTCATACCCTCGTCACTACATCGTCAAGGTTAGGCTCGAGTACAAGGGGTCGGTTGTACTCATGCTACACTTCTGGACTTCTTGTGCAGTTACCGAAGTTGGTTCTAGCGGCGTGTAGAGGAGATCATGCTGAACCGGCTATAAGTAGGACACTTGAGGTAGAGCTGATGGCGTTCGTTGTCCCTAAAGTCCCCTTCCATTTTGTCTTTAATGTTTACCTTATCTCAAACAACTGTATATTTTTGTTCATACTTTATTTGTAGTACTCTAGATGCTCATGTATTTGTGACTCAAGATTTTTGGGATATGTTTAGTTTACACTACATGGTATTTATCATATTTCTTTCAGACTATCACAGTTTGTTATTATTAATATTTTGATTTAAATTGTTAAAACTGGTTAAGTAATTAGTTAACATTGGTTTGCCTAACACGTGAAATGTTAGGCGCCATTACGGCCCCGATGATGGAATTCAGGGTCGTGACATCAAGACTCTATGCAACATTTTTATCCTCTAGCTTGGGATGTTGTTGACAAGGAAACCAAGGTTACATGGAACTGGTTCTTAAGTTTGCTGCAGAATTCATTGGACCTCAAAATGGGAGAAGAAATAACTTTTATATCAGAATGTAATGAATCCATTATTTGACATTTTATGTTCTTTTAAAAATGCATTTCTATATTATGTCTTACATTTCTTTTTCTTTTCATTTATAGGGTTTGATTGATGCAGGCAAGATGGTCCTTCCTGAAGCCAACTACAGATTCTGGATAAGGAACATAGAAGCAATTTGGTGCAAAAGATGGGGACATGGAGAAAACAAGAAATATCTTTGGTGAGATGCATGGAGCACATATGAAGAAGACTTCAAGGATCAGTTAAAGAATATGGAGGAGGTTGATGAAGATGGAAAAGAGGTTGTTGAAGATTTGTTGAAGTACCCGCACGTAAGATAGTGTAGGGCATTCTTTGACACAGTATGCAAGAATTATTCAGTGGATAATATCCTAACTTAGTCTTTCAATGTATGGGTCTTGGTTGCCAGATACAAACCAATCATCAAGATACTTGAGAAGATCAGAATAAAAGTTATGAACCTGCTGAGGGAAAGAGAAGAGGAAGTTATGACATGGACTACTGAAATCGGTCCAAAAGCCATGCAACTATATCACTAGTACTTGAGGATTGCAAGCAAGTGTGCTGTGCATGGCAATGGTGACAATGGTTATGAAGTGAGTGAAGGAAGTGACAAATTCTGTATTCATATAGTTGTCAAAAGATGCACCTGCAGAACATGGGACCTAACTGGAATCACATGTCCCCATGCAATCAAGGCATTACAGTACAAGAAGACTGATCCCTTGACTGAAGTACACTGGTCGTACACCAAAAAACATATCTTCTAGCATATTCACACAAGATACAACCTGTAAGGGGAGAGAAATTTTGGAAAGTTGAATCAAGTCATGCAATGGATCCCCCAAAGTTGGTGAAGATGGTTGGCAGGCTCAAAGTTTAAAGAACAAGAGAAAAAGATGAAACACTCAATAGGCAAGGAGAATGGAGTCAGTCTAGGAAGGGAAGAGTAATGAAATGTACCACATGTGGTCTACCTGGACACAATGCTAGGGGTTGTGCGAAGGTAAACGATCATGATTTCAATTTTTACTTTTAATTTAATTTCTGATTTTTCTGTTCTGTTCTAACAATCTCATATAAAATAGCATTCAAAGGGAAAGCAGTCAATGGGTGCAAGGAAGAAGGGCTAGAAGGCAAAGATGCAAAGAGGTTTAATAGATGAAGACAGTAATGATGAAGTGCCTAGATCTCCACATGTTGTAGATATACAAGCTGAAAATGAAGTACAACAATCAGCACCACAGGCCATTCAAGCAAGCCAAACAAGTCAGCCAAGTCAAGCCTGTCACTATCAATTTATGCCAACTTCTTCCGTGCAAAGGCAACTTCCCACTACCACTGCCAACCCTGATTTTTAATTCCCTGACTTTGATTCAGATGATGATGCCCCAGCTGTAAGGCCAAAGAGTTTTTCAGAGGCAAAAACAAGACTGCTTATGAGGCAAGAACAAACCGTACCAAGAGCAACAAGGCTAATCAACTTTGTTGGTGATTCAAGTGGGTTGAGTCATCCATAATCTCTACCATACTCACCAAAGAAGCTCAAATGGAATGGTAAAAGGGCTATAACTGGAAATCAATCAAGTGAAAAGAATGGCAAAGTTGAAGGCAAGAAAGTTTGATGGCAAGACACAACGCTAATGTGAATTGGGCTCTTGTTTGGACAGTTAGTTGAATAGTGAAAGTTATTGTAGTTGTTTTGGAAGTGTTTTGATTACTGATATGACAGTACAATTATTTTGGTAACTACTTGTTTGGTTGGTGACCGGTGGATGTCAAGTTATCACTTGGCAGTGACAATTTTTGGCATTTATAACACGACATCCAATTTGTCTTCTTTAATGTATTATGATAGATGGTTGTTGTCAAATTTATGACATTATGCTTGTTATTAAATCATATCCAATTATTCTTGTTGATTATGTTGTTAAAAATTTGGAGGTTTAGTAGAGAATTGAAAAAGAAATAGGAAATTATGAGTAATTAGAACTCTAATTTGATGTTTCATATGGCCAAACACGAACGAGAAAAATAGTAGCATCACCTCCTGATTTGTAAGAAAAACGCATCTCATAGAATGACATTTTGAGAAATTAGGAACTAGCTTTCAGTAAACATTATTGCTAGAGTGCAAGTAAGCAAACAAAAGCCTACTAAGCTTACATACATCACTGAAAATCTTGCATACATTACATACATTACTAAGCTTACATGCATAACTTCATCACAAAAAAGCTTCAAATGCATTACTTGCAATTTTATATCTGCAGATTCTTAACCAAACATAAGCCTACTAAGCTAAACCAAACAAAAGCCTACTAAACTAAATCAATAACTGCTACTTTACTTCATCACAGACGCGACAAAGAATCCCAGAAATAGTGCCCATGAAGCAATAATCAACATCTTCAAAAGTGAAACTCTTTCTTCTAATTTTCCGACATTATTAGCTTCAGATTGGTTCATATCTTTCATGGAAATTACTTCTTCTCTCAATTTGTACCTTTCAATATTAACAACATCCAACGACGACGTTAATCCTGTTATTTCAGTCATAGCACTATCGCATAATATTTTATCTTCCCATTCCCAAAAATCACAAGAAATTATCTGTCAACCCCATTCCAAACGACATTAGTTAGTTGAACCAATTAAACTTTGAGATCGAAATTATAAGAAACATAGGGGGGGGAAATTAACAATCAACAAAATTCGCAAACCTTGGGCCTCGGGCATTTATAGAATTTTCTACCGGGGTTAGCTGGAGTACTTGAAGTAAAATGGTGGGCTTTGAGACCACATCGACACCTTATCTGTGATGAACTACCAGCCTGAGGCATTTATGTTGCAGTGAGAAGGAAAGAAGAAAGCATGTATAGGGGTTGAATTTGGTTGGGTTCCTCTTTTATGAATCCTAATTTTCCCTTTCCATCTATGGGGTTCTTTTAAAAAAGAAGAGCACTAAATTTGGGTTTCGGTTAAACGGGTATGAATACTGTCCGGGCGGATAATTCTAACATGGATATGTATTTGTGGGGGTTTTTAATGCTGGGATCGGTGCCACATGGAAGTCTGTTAGAGTAAAGGGTGAATGTGTTTACTTTGTTAACGGTGGGGTTAGTCTTGGACCGTATTCGAAACGGAGAAAAAACATCAACAATAGACGAAAGTACAGGGATAATATTAGCTTTTTTCCCTAAAAATAAAATAATATCATCTGCTTCTTTTCAAATATGATGAGCAAACATATATTTCAGCAGCCACACATGCCTTCCATCAAATTTTCATAATTCCTTTTACAGTTGAAGAATATTACATTTCGTCAAACCATATCTGGGCGACAGCAAACTAAGCACATTAATCTCTATTTCCCGCAATTATCTGTTGGGATCGAAATAACCAGGGCATCATGCAGAATCAAACAATTATAAATCTTCAATGACAATAAATCAGACGACAAAAAAACTATAAAAAAGACTTTATTATATTGATATGAGTTTGGTTAGTTGACCTACATATGATAAAACTAATATAGAATTAAAATTTTGAGAGAATAATCTCCCCTTTAACAAAACTCTCGTAATGACTACATTGTGGACTCTATTGTGTTTTTGTGTATGAAGGAGGGATCATCAATTTATAGAGTTACACAACTGTCACGATCTCAATTTCCCACCTTAGGATGTCGTGATGGCACCTAATCTCTAAGACTAGGTAAACCAAACATACATTGAAATAATAACTTAAACATCAAATTAAAACTGTTAAACTATCAAAACAGAATCTAAACGGTACAATTGTCAAAAACTCCCCAAAACCTGGTGGAATCGAGTCATAAGCTCTACAAGAGTACGCTAATACTCTCGAAATACAGTATTGTTTTGTAACAAGAAATAATCAGTAATACAACTAAAGCAGAAGGTGACTTCGAGGCCTGCAAGCGTCGTGCATGTTTACCTTGAAGTCCCCGGATAAAGCTAAATGATCACTAGCGCCCGGCGCGGGCAGATGTACATGGATCTGCACAAAAATATGCAGAAGCGTAGTATGAGTACACCACAACGGTACCCAGTAAGTATCAAGCCTAACCTCGGTAGGGTAGTGACGGGGCCAGGTCAAGATACCTACTAGGACAAGAAAACTGGATAGAATATAGCATAGTCTAATAATGAAAAACGAGGAAATAATTGACAGACAAGCAGTTCAATGATGTAAACTAACAACGGAAATTGAAGCGATAAAGGCAACAAGTAGTGAACACATGAAGAAACAACAAGTAGTCAACACAGACAATTACAATTAAGACATTGAAGAAAATAACAAGAACTGTTCAACCAACAAGACTCTTTAGCATGGAATGTACAACAAGAATCACAACTAAGGTACCGCCTCATAATCATATATTACAATTTCAATCACAATCCTTCCTTATATCACTGTGTGAGCCTTGCATCGATTTTTGAAAATATTTTCTCAAAAAAGCTACACGCATTTTAGCCCCCTTATCTCACCGTGTGGTTTTAAGTAATTTCCTTACCAGCAACACGCGTATCAATTCCCACATTATCTCACCGCATGCGTATCAACCCCTGTCCTTATATCACCGCATGCGCATCAATATCACAACACAATATTCAACTCGCACCACATGTGCCCATATTCTACAACACTTGCCAAAATCAATAATACCGATGTCATCACAATATATAGCCCATGGCTCAATTACAATATGTACAAGAATCTCAATAACAACAAAATGAATGAGGAATGCTCATCAATTAACAACTTCAACCTCAATGTGATAATGACTTCCATAACTTCAACATCAATAACTCAATCAAAAAGATATTCCACGAAATAACAACATCAAGTAGGAGTAATTTAACAAATAAGGATTAACAAGACAATAAGAGAGGTAGTAACTTCAACTAAAGCATATGAGAGAAATTACAACAATAAAAGGTATAACAAATACTAACATCATCAATTAGAACACGTGAGAGTAAATTTAACAATAAAAGATGTAGCATGTTATAACAAATTCAAGTAAAGGCATGGAAGAAGTCTAAAAGTCTAAACTAGTCAAAATATCACATATAGCCTGTGTACACACTCGTCACATTGTGCACACGTCTTCCACAAAGTACAATTAACACAAATAACCCAAATCCTAAGGAGTAGTTCTCCTACACAAAATTAGGCAAGATACATGCCTCAGCTCGGCCGAATCAACCCTCTAATATAGATTTTCCCCTAAAATTCGCTACCACACGGCTCAAATCTAACCAAAAGCGACTTAATATTATCAAACAATGCAAGAGAAACCAATTACAATAGATAGAACTTTGATCTTTACACAATTTCCATAAAGTTAACAAACATCAACCCCGGGCCTGGCCGGTCAAAACTCAGGTCCAAAGATAGTTTTCGACTACCCATAACCCCACGAGTCCATATATGTGTTTTGTTTTCAAATCCAAGTCCAAATCGACTCTGAAAACTCAAATCTTCATTTTTCAAAACTTTGAGAAAAATTCCCAATTTTACTCTTTGATTCTCATAAATTTGATGTTAAATCTAAGATATAATCATGAAATATAGTTGAAAATTGATTATAATTATTTACCCAATGTTTGTAGATAAAAATTCCCTCTCCAAATCGCTTTCTACCGAGTCTAGGGTTCTAAAATAAGAGAAAGTGATAAAAATATCCTGACTCTCTGCCTCTTTTGTTCAGTTACAGATGTAGCAATTGCGACAATGCCGAACCCTCACAATCGCAAAGGGAATCGCGCAAACGAGGCCACTGACAACCTAAGAGGAAGTCACAAATGCGACATTGGCTTCGCATTTGCGAAGCCTGCCCTCATCGCAAATGCAACACTTTTGTCGCAAATGCGAGCCTACCTTATTCCTGACATTCTTCTCAATTGCGATCCAAGTATCGTAATTGCGACACCTGAGACCCCCTACTAGGATCGCAATTGCAATGCTAGTGTTCATAATTGCGACACCTATGGTATCAGCATACCAACAGTCATGTTTAAATTGAAAACCATTCTAAAACACGTCTGAAACTCACCCGAGCCCTCGGGGCTCTAAACCAAACATCAATACAAGTCTAAAAATATCATATGAACTCGCTCGCTTGCTTGATTAAAATACAAAAATAACATCTGAAACTACGAATCGGACATCAAAATGCAAGAATTTCAAAGAAAAGTTCAAGAACTTCTAGAATTACAACCAAGCGTTTGAATCTTATCAAACCAACTCCGATTGACACCACATTTTGCAGACAAGTTGTAAATAGCATAACTGGCCTATTCCAAGTGGCAAAACCAAATACCGAACCTGATAGCTAATATTCAACCTATAGTCAATCTTGAAAAATTTTCTAAATCATAAATTGCTAACTTTCGATAAAACAACACAAATCAACCTACAGACCTCCGAATTCAATTTCAGGCATACGTCCAAATCCAAAATTACGATACGAAGCTATCGGAGCCATCAAAATACCGTTTCGGGGTCATTTTCACAATAGTAAAACTTTGATCAACACTTCTAACTTAGGCTTCTAAGCCAAGAACCAAAAGGTCCAAATCAACCTAAAACCCTCCCGGAACGAAACTAATTAACCCCGCAAGTCATAAAACCTCTAATACATATGTGAGAAGCATCAAAAGGGAAAACGGGACTCAAATACGCAAAATGACCGGTCGGTTCGTTACAACAACCTTTACTCCAAGAAAGTGATCTGTTAAATATGGAAAAGAACTATATTTTCTTTTAAGGAAAAGTAAATATCAATTATGGGAAACTCTTTTTTCTTCCTTCAAGAAAATACGAAATTAAATACGGTAAGAAAATTAGGGCAAACCCTAACAGTTTCTTCTCATTAATTACGCCATTCTGTTATTTCTTTTCTTCATAAAAGAAAGATAAAGATTTATATTTGTTTATTTACAGAAAGAAAAACAAGGAAGAAAGAAAGGGGTGAAACTCAAGGGATTGGATCCCCTCCACCACTATTTTTTCCATTAAGTTTCAATAGAGTGCTTGATATATGCCACGTGGACAAAAGATAATCAATGGTTTGGCCTTATTTTATTAGTCATTGTCACGACCCAAAAATCTCTTAGTCGTGATGACACCTAACCCTATTGGTAGGTAAGCCAAACATAGAATAAGGTAACTCAAATGATATATTATTAATAACAAGAAATAAAATGACTGAATTCTATACAACCGCCCAAGGACTGGTAGTGCAAGTCACGAGCCACTATGATTTAGATTACAAACTGAAATGAAGAATAGGTACAATATTTGTTTGAAATTTACATAAATAGAGTTTAAGTCCTAAACTACCATGAACAAGGGGTAGCTTAAATCTAGAACGATGGAACATCTTCAGTGCAAGGCTTCATCTTCCACAGCTACGCAACTCCAAAATCTGCACACAAAGTACAGAAGTGTAGCATGAGTACAACCAATCATATGTACTCAGTAAGTATCTTAACTAATATCGGTGAAGTAGTGATGAGGTTTTAAGTTAAAAGATACTCATTTTTTTATTTTTACCTGTGCAGATGATAAGCAGAAAGAGCAATATGAGAAAGATACAGAAATAATCACGTAAAAATGAAACAAGGATACAATTGACAGAGGGCCCCAGAATATCATCACACCTCAGTTTCACAACACAATACGAAAACAGGAATCAAATACAAGAATAATCATAATACATCCGCTCCGTTGCGGTGCGTAATCCGATTCCACATATATAATGAACACTATTGCGGCATGCAACCCGATCCCCAATATCAATAAACACTATTGTGGCATATATA